TGTGTGTGTGTGTGTGTGTGTGTGTGTGTGGTGGGGAGAGGAGTAGTTAGATGAGGATGAGGGAGAGCTTTAAAGAAGCAAGACACTTCGGAACAGTTTAAGGTACCTAGGGACAGTGGGTAGTGTGAAGGTCAAGGTAAAGAGGATGAGAATATATTGAAAGGAGGCAATAGAAAGCTAGGATATGGTGGGAAAGTTTTCTTGCACTTTTTCTTTTACACATCTGAATTTTCTCCTCTTCATGTACATCTGTTATTTCCTATTAGTTTATCTTCATTCCCTTTTTTTCTTTTCAAAATAATTTTTCTTGGTACCTTTTATTCTTCCTTTGATTCTTTTTCTCCTTTTGTCCTTATATTACTTTCTTTTTTTTTTTTTTTCTGGCTGTTTTGGTCATGAAGGGGTTAATCAGGAGCTGGGCCTACCAAGTTCCCTGGCCCATTGGGGTTTCCAGGCCCATCTAGCAGGGGCTGACCTTGGCCTTGTCCAATCACAAGGGGTGTGGGGGTGTGGTCCCCCTTGCCTTAGTACTGGGTTTCCGGAGCACACTGGTGAGGGGCGGAGTCTACTACACTCCCCTCCCCCCTTCTCCCTGAGGTTGGGAACAAAGCACCAATAAGCCCAGGCCTAGGCTTTTCTGCCTCCTCCTACTTTGGTTGGCACTTATCCAGGTTAACCCCTTCCAATCCAGGCTTAAGGACAAGCTGCTGCTCCTTGTTGTGTGGGGGGAGTTATTGGCTGTGGCTTGAGGAGCTGCCCTTGTTAGCCTACAAACTATTATTAACCAAGTAGAAAGGGAGGGATAGTTACTAGTTGCATGTGATGCTTTAGAGCAGAAATCTGCAGAGAGGAACTAGTAAACTAGGAACTAGTGTGATGTTCTTCCATCTAACTGAGTTTCTGGACCTTGGGCTGGTTTAGAAAGAAAGAGCAAAATACAATATTCATCATGTGCCTGGTATGGCTTTATGGTTTGTGCTTTATGAGTGGTGTCTGAGCATCAGCAGCTGGGCCTGGAGATGCATTTCTGTGGCATTGTGTGTATAAACAAAGCTCTGAGCTAAGGGAAGCTGGTTGAATAAGGATAAGATGGCTGGGAAAAATGAGAAGTGTTTCCTTGGGTTAGAGTTTCTAAGGTGTTTTCTTTTTGGACTAGTTTCTGACTTGGTTTCTTCTTCCTCAATTTCCTAGGGGAGTTTGAGGAGGAATCAAAGCAACCAGGGGTGACAGAACAGCAGAGACATCAGCTTAAGCATCGGGAGCTTTTTCTTTCTCGGCAGTTTGAATCATTACCAGCCACCCACATAAGGTATAGGACAATCAGGGCCATTATGGTCTTTAAACATTTATTTAGAAAGGAAAAGAACATGATGTTGTATTCTTTTTTTGTTTGTTTGTTTGGTGCCAGTCCTGGGACTTGAACTTAAAGCCTTATATGCTCAGCTTTTTCTTTTTCTTTCCCTCCCCTCTCCCTCCAAGTCCTGGGGCTTGAACGCAGGACTTGGACACTGTCCCTCAGCTTCTTTGTGCTCAAGGCTAGCACTCTACCATTTGAGCCACAGCACCACTTCAGGCTTTTTCTGAGTAGTTTTTTGGAGATGAGAGTCTCATGTACTTTCTTGCCTAGGCTGGCTTCGAACTGGGATCCTCAGATTTCAGCCTCCTGAGTAGTTAGGATTACAGGTGTGAGCCACTGGCACCTGGCTACTCTCAGCTTTTTCACTCACAGGCTGTCAATCTACCACTTGAGCCACAGCTCTGCTATAAAGAAAAGAAAGGGATGGTGTTTTCGTTGTAGGTGTTGTAAAGAAGGAATGAAAGGCTCATGCAGGGGTTTCCTTTTTTTTTTGTCAGTCATGGTGCTTGAACTCTGGGCCTGGGCGCTGTCCCTCAGCTCTTCAGCTCAAGGCTAGTGCTCTACCATTTGAGCCATAGTGCCACTTCCAGTTTTCTGAGTAATTTATTGGAGATAAGAGTCTCATGGCCTCTCCTGCCCAGTCTGGTTGAACAGTCTGATTGAACCACAATCCTCAGATCTCAGCCTCCTGAGTAGCTAGAATTACAGGCGTGAACCACTGGTGCCCAGCTTCACACAGGGTTTTCTAACTTCTTTCCTGTAGGGGGAAATGCAGTGTGACACTCTTGAATGAGACCGATATCTTGAGCCAGTACCTGGAAAAGGAGGTGAGAAGAATGTGTTGGAAGAAGAGGGAGGAGAGTGGGTATTGGCCTCTAAAAGATGTGAGGAAAGTAGAATGATGAGGAGGTGAAAGTATGGCAGACTGAGGACTCTGTGTGTATCCTACTGTCCCACCCCCCCCTTTCTCCTTCATGTATTGATTGCTGCTCTGCTTACCTTTGTCTCCCCATCTCCAGGACTGCTTTTTTTACTCACTGGTGTTTGACCCTGTGCAGAAGACACTTCTGGCTGACCAGGGGGAAATCAGAGTTGGTTGCAAATACCAAGCTGAGATTCCCGATCGCTTGGCAGAGGGTAAGCAGCATACAGGTCGTGTGGCTACTGGGTTATTTAACTTCAAGGGGGTCTCAAACATGCAAGTTGCTGTGAATGGCATGCCCTGGGGTATGGGAAACACAGTCTGCAAAGCTTTCTGCTGTGGCCCTGACAGGATGGCACCTTAGGAATCTGAAAGGGACAAGTGGGTACTGCTGGGAGGAGAATTCTGAGAGTTGATTTGGCTGACAGAATCCAAGCAGAAGAGGAGAAAGAGGTGCTACTGTGAGTGACTAAGACATCAATTCTTTCCCTTTCATTCTCCCTGTTGATGCATTTGCTTGTTTCCCCAGGAGAATCAGATAATCGGAATCAACAGAAGATGGAGATGAAAGTCTGGGACCCAGACAACCCTCTCACAGATCGGCAGATTGATCAGTTCCTCGTGGTGGCCCGGTGAGGGTGGGTGGAAGGAGAAATGGGTGGGGGGGTGGGGGGGGTGGTGGTGGTGGTATACATGCAGTTGTGAGTCCCATTCGTTCTTAGAGATTTTGTAGAGATTTATTTTCTTTGGCATGAATTGTTTTCCTTCTTTCTTTCCCTTAGTTTCTCATCTTGTTTGTACCTTTTTCTTTTTTGACTCCTTCAATCTCATCCTTAGAGCTGTGGGGACCTTCGCAAGAGCCCTAGATTGTAGCAGCTCTATTCGGCAGCCGAGCCTGCACATGAGTGCAGCTGCTGCCTCCCGAGACATCACTCTGGTGAGCAGAAGTTGGTGGGTGGTTGGGCAAGCTGGGTTTTGTGAGGACCTGCAGAGCTTGGCTGGAGGGGAGCAAATCTTGGAGGCTTAAATGGCTGCACGCTAGTGATGCTGAAACTTCAGGTCCTTAGCTTTGTTCTCCCAACTTTCTGTAGTTTCATGCCATGGACACATTACAAAGGAACGGCTATGATCTAGCTAAAGCCATGTCAACTCTGGTGCCCCAGGGGGGCCCAGTGCTGTGTCGTGATGAGATGGAAGAATGGTCTGCTTCTGAAGCCATGCTGTTTGAGGAGGCCCTAGAGAAGTATGGGAAGGATTTCAATGACATTCGCCAGGATTTTGTAAGTGGATGGGCTAAAAGGAAGAGTAGGAAAGCTGTGACATCAGAGAACTCTCGACCTGGGGCTGAATGTCAGCTTATCCAAATCTTTCTGCCCTCTTTAGCTACCGTGGAAATCCCTTGCCAGCATAGTCCAGTTTTATTACATGTGGAAAACCACTGACCGGTATATTCAGCAGGTATGGACTGGGCTGGGAGGCTGTACCACAGGCTGCCTGCTCCTCTCTGTCTTTGGAGTTGATGACATCCTTCTCCCTGCTGAGATGCTCTGATCTTTTGCTTCTTTTTCCTTCTGGCAGAAAAGATTGAAAGCTGCTGAAGCAGACAGCAAACTGAAACAGGTCTACATCCCTACCTAGTAAGTGTGTTCAGGAGCAGACGCTGGTACATTTTCCTTCTCCTCACCCAGCCTGTGTTTCCTCTGTGAGAGGAGTGGGCAGGAGGCTGAAGGGAAGTGGGGTTTCAATCTCCAGCATTGTAAAACAGTGTATAAGGGCTGGGATATAACTCAGTGCAAAGTGCTTGCCTACAATGTCCTAAGTTTGATCCCCAGTACCAAAAAGAAACGACCAAAAGAAAAAAAAACAACAACAAGCAAACTGTTAAAAAAAAGACCAGCATGTACACAGACATGGTATATTGATATATACATACATACATATATAAATATATAAATTTTTTGTTTTTGGTGGAGGTACTTGGACTAGAACTCAGGGCTTGGGCACTGTCCCTGAGTGTTTTTTGCTCAAGGATGATGTTCTACCACTTGAGTCACAGATCTTCTGGCTTTTTGGAGGTTAATTGGAGATAAGTGTCTGAGGGACTTTCCTGCCTGAGCTTTGAATGGCAGTCTTCAAATCTCAGTCTTCTAATCTCTGTCTTCCTAGTAGCTAGGATTATAGACACAACCCCAATGACCAGCTGTTACTTTGTGTGTGTTCGTGTGTATGTGTGTGTGTGTGTGTATTATAGACACAACCCCAATGACCAGCTGTTATTTTGTGTGTTCGTGTATGTGTGTGTGTGTGTGTTTCACTCCTCTTAAATAAGTTCTTATTTTTCTTCCTGTTCTCATTAGCACAAAGCCAAACCCTAACCAGATCATTTCTGTGGGTTCCAAACCTGGCATGAATGGGGCTGGGTTCCAGAAGGGCCTGACTTGTGAGAGCTGTCACAGTGAGTCCCGGGGAGGGCCATGGTTGCCGGAGGTGGCTGGGCATCTCCTGGCCAAGGACCTGAGGGTCTCAGCACATTTCCTTCCTCCTCTCTCTGCTTCTGCAGCCACACAGTCTGCCCAGTGGTATGCCTGGGGCCCACCCAACATGCAGTGCCGTCTTTGCGCTTCCTGTTGGATCTACTGGAAGAAGTACGGGGGACTGAAGACCCCAACCCAGCTTGAGGGGGCCGCTCGAGGCACCACAGTAAGGACTGTTCAAGGGGCAGGCAGTGGGTGCTTGATAAATGTTGGGGAGCCAAGTGGGTTGGGGTGTCATTAAGGTGGTCATATCCTTTGCAGAATAGGAAGGGAACTGGAGTGCTGATATGTATTCTACTTTTTTCCTCCACCCTTCTTTCAGGAGCCACATTCGAGGGGTCATTTATCCAGACCTGAAGCCCAAAGTCTCTCCCCCTACACCACCAGCGCCAACCGGGCCAAGCTGCTCGCGAAGAACAGGCAGACTTTTCTTCTTCAGACCACAAAGCTGACCCGACTTGCCCGAAGAATGTGCAGGGACCTGTTACAGCCGAGGAGGGCTGCCCGGCGACCCTACGCCCCTATTAATGCCAATGCCATCAAGGCAGAGTGTAAGATCACAAGTGGTGGGGATAGTTGTGGGTTCAGGGTACTCTGGCCAGAGAGCAGTTTCTGTGGATGTTTAATATCAGCAGGAATACTGGGCTGCAGAGGTTGGTTTTTCTTTACATTAGACTTGGCTCCTGGTCCCCAGTGAGTCCTGAATAATGAAGCCCCTTCAAAAACTTTTGTCTTCTAGGCTCCATCCGACTTCCTAAGGCGGCAAAAACTCCACTGAAGATTCACCCTCTAGTGCGGCTGCCCCTGGCAACTATCGTCAAGGATCTGGGTATGGGATAGTCCTTTTACTATCTATGGGGTGTGGTGGTGCATGTCTGTAATTCTAGCACCTAGGAGGGTGAGGATGGAGGATGTTGAATTTCAGACACCTAGACTTACATAGGGAGCTTATGTCTCAAAAATAAGAACTTTCTCTAATCATTTTTCTTCCAAGTCTAAAGAGATTTGGTCTAATGAGCTCTACACTTTATGTGTTTATTTTTGCAACTGAACATTTGCCTAATGATGTGTTTCTTATAAGACATAATCCAGTTGGGTGGCTAGTGGCTCACATCTGTAATACTAGCCATTCAGGAGGCTGAGATCTGAAGATCTCTGTTGCAGAAAAGTCCATGAGACTCTTCAATTAATCACCAAAAAGCTGGAGCTGGAGGCACAACTTAGTGATAGGCATGAGCAAAAAAATCCCAGTGAAGGGCTGGGAAGGTGGCTCAGTGGTAGAGCACTTGCCTTGCATGCATGAGGCCCTGGGTTCGATTCCCCAGCACCACATAAGCAAAAAGAAA